AAAAATGATGGTGGTAATGTGAATTCTGCTACTCCATCTCTTTTTCCTCCAACAAATGAAATCACCTTCAAGCCTCGTATTAAACGAGCAAGTGCCTTGTCAACATCGCTTCCTTCTTCAACCGAGATCATGCTGATATGGTCTTCCTCGTTAACCCACACCAAGAAAGATTTGTCATTGTTGTGGAAGATTCCACGCCCCTAGAACCAATGAAGAAAAACATGGCATACAGATTCAAAATTATAACTCGTCAGAAGCCTAATTACTGGTTAATAAAACTAAGTGGTGACATTATCAAACACGATTGAATTTGACCTACAGTTGTGCTTTTGTGGACACATGCTTCATTGAATGATTTGATTGCATTAATGACAAAGGAAGACTGGACCCGGTTTTCTGATAACACATTTCAAAAAGAACCGAAGTAACACCTCTGGCCAGACATTGTAGGCATTTGCATGTTTCAATAAAGAACTGTTGTTGTTGAACAGGAGCTGTTTACTGTCAAGCTCATCCTGCGTTTTCTTCGGCATTCTATCCAGCGAATAATAAACCCCACGTAATTCAGGTTCCTCGATTTGCAGCAGTGCATTTTTCACCTTGAATTTATGAACAATGAGGCAATCAACTTCAAAAATGTCAGGAACAAAAATGTCGAAAATGCCCGCCGATCATACAAGAACATCAGCCCATTTTCGGGTTAGGGGCAAGGACGAAAATGGAACCAACCTTCTGTTCCAGGATCATGTAATCATCTGCACTTAAAAGTGGGTTGAACGGATAACCAGCAATTGAACGAGCACAGCGAATTCTGAAAAAAAAACTTCATCGCTTGTTTCAAAAATGAAATTACGTTTAAAACTAAATTTCAAGCAAATAAATTTCTGACTCCTGTGAAAGCGTGCACAGGTGGGAACAGACAAAAATGAGTTCGATCAGTTTGTGGAGTCACTTCTCAAATAAAGTATACTATTATATAAATAAGAATAAATTACGTGAGGAAACTAACCTGATTGACTTAACATATTTTCCTGTAGGATCAAGAGATGGGAATTCGTTGATTTTTTCCTCCCCCAAATCAACGAGTGGTTGTTTTGCTCCTGGTTTGAATCCATGGTAATCCTCCAGAATTTTATCGAAAAGAAGAGCGAATTTGTGATATGATTCAGGATCCGCTGCATATACACCAATCGCCAAGTCATGGTTATGCAAACCTAAAAAATAATGAAACATTCATCATTTTACAGTCTAAAGCATAGACGCAAAGAACTACTATTTATTCCGGAAATTGAGAAAACAGATGGATTTGTCGCAGTCGGAAATAAAAAGAAACGTACCAGAACGAATTATGTCGTAAAGAGAAGCACCCAGTTTCGTTTTTTTGTTTTCCAATTTTTGTAAAACTGTAGGTGTTAAGTTTTTCTTCAACAGCGAATTACAATGCTTATCCTAAATGTCTCCAGCTTTAGAAATTGTAGCAAGTTCCAGAAATTATTGACCTCATTTAACTTATTACTGCTTTGTTTTTAGAAATACTTTGCTATGCCTTTACCATCACAGAGAAAGCAAAAAAGGCCCATCAGATTCCAAAGATTATAGCCTCCCAAATATAAAATACAATCTGAACAGTAGCACTTTTCATCTCTTATCAAACGGTAGTTGGTACTGTTTATTCAACCAGTGAAGATTTCATTTTTTCGGAATGTGTAAAAAAGAAAAAGTCATAATATACCTTTTGGAGTTCTGCGTAACCCGTGTTGATTTTTCGAATAGCAAGGGCATCCGCTTCATCAATCTGATAATTCATTTTGTAAAGCTCCCCAGTCTAAAGAAATATAGCTAGTATGGATCTAAATTAGCACGAATAGGTGTACAGCATACTGAAATTTAGCGTAAGCAAGGTATTTCATTTTCAGCAACAACGAATATTTGGCGCGAGTAAAATACGAATCTAGTCATTTATTGGTCACTTTACCTACAGAGAGTTTTTCTGAAAAGTATACCGCTTTATAACGCCTTTCGTTTAATCTGGATAATTGACTTACATACGACACGGCTAAAAAAGCTGCTGTTGCTCCGCCAGCCACGGCAAAAAGTTTCTTGAATGTTCCAGGAACTGACATTGTCAACCAACACTGAAAAGTTTTATTACGGACAGTCCGTGACAAAGGAAATAAATCCCTAAATTGATGGCAATACCATTACGGTTTCCAAACCAACAGTTCCGATTCCAAATACTGCTTCAACTTATTTTGCGGCCAAAAGAGAATCCCTGGAACTCTTGATCACTTCAGCTATCCAAATTGAAAATGTCAAACTTCCTAGTGTATCTCACTCAAATTATATGCATTAATCACAGCACTCTCTCATTACTAAACAGTCAGAAAATCTTGCTCCCTACTGCTTAAGAACACCCAGTAAGGTCACCACCCCTCTACCAAAGTAAGTTTGAGACAGCAATAGACAGCAACTGCTGGGAATATGACTGCAACAAGATGCAGAGTGCATAACGCTAAGGTTGACGACTCGATTTGCGATTCGATTTTGACAAAAAAAAGTGGCGACACCCCAATTCATTTACATCGAATAGTTTGTGACGTGGCACCGTTATGCCTGGTTTCTATAGCAATCCCAGAGTTGCGACCGTCATCTATCTTCTAGAACTTTTTCCCGCAAACAGAATTGTTTCGCGGAGAAGATTCTTCACATATTAGATTTGCGTATTTAACACCATTAATCATATTAATTTATTTAAAATCCAGTCAATTTAAGAGCGCAACGTTTGTCCGTAACTATGCTCGGTAAATACTGTCCGAAAAAGAAAAAAGATCTCGAACGGCAACATTAAAACAGGAAATGATTTGAGGAGGGGTAAAATGGACAGTATAAGAAAAAGGAACTTGTATGAATATATCCTATGTACAATTCCCAATACTACATGAGGAATTATATACAAAATGAGGGGTTAAAACGAAACGTAACTGCCCTGCAACGGCTAATAATTTCTCGTAGTTTGTGTTGGATCTAATCCCGTTAGATCAAATGTTCACTGACTTTACAGGCCTTAATTGCCTTATATGGGCTCCTTACTGTTAATCATCCGTGAATTAATAGGGAATTGATAAGCATTGTGAAGTTTTTTACATACCTAACCAATTTATCGGAGTACAATGGGCCTTTACTGAACTACGAATACTTCAAATCGTAAAAGAGATTCAATCATGTTGCAAAGGAGAAAAAAAACATGAATTTGAAAATATCGCAGCGAGTAAATGTTTTGCGACATAAGCACTTGCATATATTCAAAGAACTTGAATTTTCATATATGAGGCGTCACTAACTGCAAAGCATTCTGCTTGTACAACATCTGCAATTTCAGAGTTGAGGCGTCACTAACTGCAAAGCATTCTGCTTGTACAACATCTGCAATTTCAGAGTTGAGGTAAATGTTTTTAAAGTGAATAAACATTAGTAAACCAATCAGCTTGAAAAGGGTAAGAATTCTGAAGTGTTCTAATGTAGGTTGGAACGACCACAGATCGATAAGTCAATTAATGCTTAGAACGCTTCCGATTAATACGGTCGGAATTCTTAGTAGAAAATAAACCTCTTAGTCTAGACAACCTCACTCACTACAATGCAAATACAATAGTTGCTTCCAAATGCAGGCTTCAATTTCTTATCCCGATAACGTTAACTTCTAACGGTTTTTTGGCTGACGTCCTCCGCCCAACTTTTGCAGAAGAATGGTGTCTTTTCTACAGAAATTAGAAAATTTAAATATACTCAATTATTCTCTTCTCATGAGGCAATATCATCGTACTTTGTCAACGAAGAAACGAAGGGAAACTTAACGAAATGGTTCCCAGATGAAAGCATGCATCAAAACGTTTCAGAGTAGCACATTCGTAACAGTATTTATGCTAACGCTGCATAGATGTTTCGTGAAACATCTATCACCTGTTTCAATTCTTCAAGTTGCTGTCCTTGTTCTTTCATAGTATCCAGCAATTTATTCAGTGAGTCATGAATCTCACTAATGTCATCGGTTTGCTCCGCTTCTTGATTATCCTCAGCCAACGACATTGCTTGCATCCGAGGGAACCAGTCACTTTTATGCTCCTAAACAATATGATATTTCTGAATTCCTTATGTAGCATTAAATATAGAAAAAAAGTCTTGATTGTTACAATAATAAAAAAAGAAAATCAATAAAAATCTTGCAATAAGCAAGAGTCGAAATAACTGTCGTTCAAAAATTTACCTTAATGCAATTTGCGACATAGCTTTCAGGACCGGTGAATTCTGTTTCATCCTTTACTTGTAGCCACACAATAAAATATAGGTAGTGGTAAAGATTATGTTCGTTTTTTCGGTGCTCCTCGAAAGTTACAATTTTATTGTCAAACCTGGATTAATTTGAATGGTACTGAAAGTATAAAGGAATTATCCAGTTATTTGAGCTTATGATGAACCGATCTCTCCTTTTATCTCATGTCCTTCTTTCCCCCACGTTTTATTTGCATTCTGGCTACAAAATTTATACGATTATGAAACACAGGAGAAGACAATTAAATTTCATGGGAAGATGAAACCGACCTTCCTCTTCCAAGACCACAAATGAAACAATTATTCCTTAATTGATCAACTTTTTCATTTCTTTCAGCTCTCAAATCACCAAACGTATCGATGATAACACCAAATACCAGATTGAGCACGATAATAATGATTACGATAAAGAATGTCAAATCATAGACGATCCGAGATAAAAACGATTCTTCCTTGACAGATAATTTTTAACTCCTTTTGCTTCCTGCTTTTGTTTAACAGTATAAAGAATCCTAATTATTCTATTATATCCTTTATTGCCAGCTCGCACAATTTAATATTAAACCACCAAAATACAAACAGAAACAATTCCTACAAGCAATTCTATTTGCAACGTGAACCTTAACTAAATTTATCGAATATATGGAAAGGTAGAATAAGTCATCTGCAGGGCCCATTTCATTATTGTATTGCATATCCTATCGTTTGAGTATTAGCCATGAATTTAGGAGTCCATGAGGAACTGACAATGAGCACTGTCATTTGAATCAGTAATTGATAGTATTATTAATATCACTATTGCCGTCATTAATATGACGATCACTTACCGTATCTTAAGTTATGCATAGTACGATTGTCGTCTTATTACATATCTTGAAATTCTTGCTGTGACATAACGCTTAGCAATTACTGTCAATTATATGTATATTACTTACATGTAAAAGTACTTAAATGTGAAAGTTGTGCATCAAACATACATGTGGTGCCACGTTCCGAAGCACATCGCCAATACCACCTCCGTTTCGGAGACCCCAATTTAAAGTTGTTAGGATACACATACGTAAGGTCTGACATGACCAAACTTTTAATTCGCCTTCTGAAAAGATTGTAAAATTTCTAAATTCAGTGCACTGCTTCATTCACTCTAAGCCTTATTAAATTTAAAGATTTGAAATATATTAGCAGAAGCTGTATATTAGCTAGAAAATATATTAGCTAAAACAGTGGGAAACTCTTGAAAGCACCACACAAGGAAAAAATACTCTGTCGTTGCAGGCCTTTTTTCTGACTGCTAATAGCATTAGTAACACTTTATCAATAGATTAACAGCAATATCTTGCTTCAAAAATTGAAATAGAGGTAGGCAGAAAATTTGCGACTGCTCTCGTAAGTAAAATAACTGATAGATCAAAAGAAACAGAATAACATTTACATTTTAAAATAAATTGAATAAGTATGATGCAGAATGTAAACTCACTGTCGTTAATAGGCTGATTACTCGGTAAGTTTTCCATCTCCAAGCACTTGTTTTCGTTGACATACTGTCTGAAAATGAAAGGTTGCGAACGAATATATTCCATAGACGGATAACTTCCATAATCAATATTATCTTTTTCACTGTTATCCAGTTCATCAACTTCCAATTGAAAATCTGGAAGCGCAATAAACGTAAGCATCTACAACAAATACAAAACTGCATTCATAATCTGGTTATTGCTTCGTCGAAATCATTATTTCTGATCAGTATAATAGTACCTTTCTGGAAATACAAATATCCAATGATTGAAAAGAGATAAACTAATATGACAGCCAATAAACCAGTCATTATAATTGATCGCCAGTTCCGCGTTACAGATCGAATTACATTTCGCAAAGTTTCCTCATTTGCCACAATGTCAAATAGCTGAAAAAGTCGGATGTGCAAATTTTCACATTATTTCGGAAGGATGCTTTAAAAAGTTTGGGAGGTAGTTTAATTTAAAAAATTAAAGAGAGGAGGAGGGAAAGTTGAGAGAGCCTTTAATTTTTAAAACTGAAGTTAAATTATCACATCAAGAGATAGAAAATAAAATGGATTTATATAGAATTACGCAAGATTATTTGGACAGTTGGACGAATATTTAAAACATGAAAAACCGAAAAGAAAACTTACAAGTAAAGCGTAAAAGAGCGGATGCACAATAAAACCTTGGATACATATTAGCAAATATGCCAGATGGTACCAGATACCCTTATCCTGAACTCGTTCAGGCCATGTTTTATCAATTAAACCACGGTTTCCTACATAGCTTAGTACATGGATTCCTTTATTAATCAACTGAAATTTGCTTCTCATTTCACCTTGAAAAATTTTCTTTTTTTTCACTGAACACTTCGACAAGCGAAGCCGCTTTAAACGAAATTTACGAAATAAGAAAATTGTAAAATTTATTATTCGAAAACTTGAGTCCTTTAACCAAGTCTCAACTAAATTACATGATTTTTTACCCACTTTGCTGGAAGCAAGGATTATCATATTTGATTAAATGGGGTGAAGGAATTTTCAGCCTATCCCTGGACACTAATGCAAGATCCTGTATATAGTTTCACAATCCCGCAAAGTGCGTCAAGATGACTTTGAAAAATAACTTTAAAGTCTTTCTCATTCCACGACGAATCCAGTAATAGCCAACCTGAAGCAAACCAATAACACGCAGCGTCAATACTACCCCAATTATTGTAACAAATAAAATCGTGAAAGTTGACATAACGGCAGCAAACGCCCAATAAATCTCATTTGTTCTTCCGAGTGAAGCTCTATAAATGTTTATCATTCTCGTTAGCAAAATTAAAATCAAGTTTTGCTTTTACGGGAATAACTATTAGTGTTTTAAATTCTGCAAATCTATGCAATAAAAACTGGAGGTTTACATTATTACATCAGTGTTTTCTTGAATATATCCAAACATTTAATGCATACTTTTCACTCCATTGCGTTCGCAAAAATAATAACGATACTGTAGGAGACACATACAGGAATGGATTACTCAAAGATATTAATTCTGAAGACGAAAAATTTTTAAGGGTTTCCTATAAGTTCTAGACGAACTGAGATAATATTAAATTCGTATATTCGGATAAGCCTAAAATATCTTGATACCAATTTAATTAGAAATGGCTCATCAAGGAAATGATTTGGTGAGTAAACAAACTTTAATGTCTGCAAGAAATTCGAAAACTGATTTTGAATTCAAAAACCAATTAAGATGTCCATGACAATATTAAATGGCTGAAAAGATTACAAGAATAGAATGAAGTGTACCTTGTCTACTACTTTCTGAAAAAGGATAAAATACTGCGATAACCATATTGATCAAAATAGCAAAAAAGAATGATATCCGACTCCATAATATCAGTCGTTTTGTGCAATTGCTTAAGTACTTCCGATCTGAAAAATTTGAAGTTACTGATCAGATAGATTGAAATTACTGATCAGACAAATATATACCCGTTCAATTGCGCATCGAATTTACTACTTACGTTGAAGTTTTCTTTGCCACTTCATCTCCTCGAAAAGTTCCGGCCATTGACCGAAAAATTCTGTTACCTAAAAAAAGTACACATGCATTTCTGAATAAAGCTACTTAATGGAGCTAACACTGACATTTATTGTATAACATATATTTACCAATCATAGCTTCAACTCAAAACACGAAATAAGAGAATAAAATAAAAAAATTTCTCATAAATAGCAGAAAAAAACCTTGGACCCTTGAGCATCGTGTTCGGTTTCCAGCAAAATGTTTAACTTTGATTCTGGTGTAAGATATTTACATATAGCGTGGATTGGGAATATTACTCGTTCCATTTTACGATCACTGCGAACTATCTAAAACATCTCTCATTTTCAAAATTTTAAACATAGAAATAAGAAGTATAACATTGGTTCTAATTATTCAGTGATAACAAGTCTTTGTACTCATAAGTACACCATGAAAATACATTTCACACTTCATATCATCCAGTCACAGGAGTTGGAAGTTATTAAAACATTTTTGTTGATGATGAAATACAATTTCTAAATGTTACCCACAGTCTAGCTGCATCACCGTTATCGTATAGATAAATTATGATTTTACGAAAATCTTCCACCTTGTCCATTTCTATGGCATCAGATTTATTCCCATTGATTGTATATTTTATATTTTTGAATAAAGGAGTCAACATATTGGGAACTCTGTCAACCATATACTTTCAAGATATCAATAAAAAATTTGGAATTGTGAAAAGATAACAGTTACTTGTTGACTTCTTTCAACTCAAACCAGCTTTCAATTTTAAACCTCAATCTGTGCAGTGTGCTGCTTGTAGTACCGTAAAGCTTTCGAAGTCATCGGATCCTTATTATTTTCCGCATCCAAAGCTTGTCGAAGTGTTTCATTGTATCGCGAAAGTTGTGTGGCAAGAATGAAGATATTATGTCCAACCTAATAAAGAGAAACCAATGAGGAAAAACTAGTGCTGAATTATGAAAACAAACACCAAAAGAGAAAAAGTGGAGCCTTTACGAAGAATAAATTAAAGAAAATAAAAACACCTCTTGTGGGTCAGCAAGAGTTATATTGGCGGATGGATACGGTGTAACGACATTATCCTGAATAACAATATCTGGCCTACTTAATCTAGGCTTCGATTTTGTTAGTGAACTACTTGCCTGAAATTTTTAAAAGTCACTTGCTATATTTATCATTAGTTGCTTTGCTGATTAGTAAGCCATTTCTTAATAACTTCAAGATTAACGCGGTAAAATGCAGATAAAATTTAAGTTTCGCTTTTCAGAATATCAACTCAAAAGGTTAATTATTTCATATGGGTATGGTGCAAATTGTTTTCTTCTCTCTCAGCCTGTACGAAAAAAGTAATTGACATAAAAGAAATCCGACAGAGTTTCATTTTTAATATAAAAGCATGTATGGGAATTTTACTGAAGAATTAAAAAAACATTGAGTTCAGGTATAAAAAAATTTAACGATGTCTTAACTATAAGAAAATAAAAGTGCAACGAACCTCAAAACTCTTTCTTATTTTTGACATTGCAAACTCCTTCAATTCTGACATCTCATATGCCATTTTAATTGCTTGGACCTTAAAATTTAAAATTTTCATGCAGTGAAGCTTAACTTTAGTGAAATTACTTTGAAGTACCCGCTGAAATAGTTAATGAATAAAAAGAATTAGAATGAAATGCTGAAGTATAGAAAAGCAAAGATAAGGAATATACAGAGACTTATAAAAACAGGGCCTTCTGCTGCAAATTTTGAACTTCAGTTCATTATCTGAACTTCGTCGTCTCTTTGACATAAAAATTAAATATTATGTATTTAATTTTCAAGGCAAACTAAAGACATTATAATGTTTTGGAAGCAGAAATATATTCTGCAAATTATATTAATGCATTTTCATTCAGCGCTTCTGTCACAGTATCAAAATACAACTTCGATTCATTTGTTTTAATTAACCCAAACTTTCATCGGAAAAATTATGGCTAAAATAACCATGTTTATTTGATCAGCAATGAAAGCCTATCATAAACTTACCAATTGATTCGCTCCACTAGCCATATGATCCATGTTCATAAGTACGCGTTCTGCATTATCGGCATCACGACGTGATTCCATGACAGCCAATAACAGCTTCGATGCAGCGCTCTAAATTAAGTTAACCAAGATTCCAAAATCATCACCTTTTATAAAAGTCCAAACAGTTACTGCTAACTTTAATTAATTCAACGCCAAGTTTTTTCTGAATGTTTCGCAGTTCCATTTCGCTTTTAAATTGAAATATGGTGTCATAAAATCAAATATGGTGTTATAAAGAAAATTCCATCTACCTACTTTTATTTCCAATGCCAAATCCATGTGTGTTAAACAAAGTGGTTTGATTTCATTCAGTACTAAAGATATTATCATATTAAGTCCAGATTCATGATTGCCCACTGCATTCTGGAAAATATTGTACCCTTCATTTCAGCTTTCTTCGCCGAATGAAAGTGTTTACAAAAAAAAAAAAAAAAAGTACTAACAGAATCAAAAGTAGACTCCCAGTGATGATGGTGATAATGCTAGTTTTTTTTAAATATATGAAGTTTGTTTTAGAACAATAAATACAGAATGGAAATTTGTTACTTGATTTTCACAACAAGGACCCTGACAAAATTCGGTCAGTGTGACCAAAGTTTGAATGATTAGTGAAAAATTGTGTTCGTCTATTTCACGAAATACACCCAAACATCCTGCAAATTTTTCAAGCAAACTTATGCTTAAATTCTTAAATTATTCAGCACTATAGATAAGCAGAGAGAAAATCTGAATCAAAAAGACCTGCAAAACAAATAAGACAGAGAAAAAAACCTTTGGTGCTACCGCAAATAACATCAAGAAACATAAGTGTTTCGTCAACCAAATTATGATTCTGACGACTGCCTTGATACCGCAAGAAATTCTAGAACAATTCAGCTATTAAAAAAATTACTGTTACACTTCAAGGGATTTTCCACAAAATCAATTAGTGACCACTAACCTGCAACATCAAATTATGATTTTCACATAGCAGTTGTAGAAAACGCAAAATTGGTTCGATAAGGGCAACTTCTTGGGGAAGAAGCGTCTTTCTGGAATAAGCTTCATAAAAAAAAAGTCATTGGGTGTGCTTTAATAATACTTCCAGTAAGCTGTGATTTCTAGCCGAGCGTGTCATGCTAGGACCGCAAATCCTGAAGCAATTGCTACCACTTCCAAAGTGGCATTTCTAAGCGTGCAAGTTTACAGCAAGTGAAATTCATAAGACTATTTGCTGGTTTATAGTAATCCACCTTCCTTTACCCCCTTCCTCATTGCTGAAGCTGCACTTGGATTATTTGCAAGTTTGTTGCCAAAATGTATAAATAACTTTTAAAATGAACTCACTTGCCATCCCAAAAATTTAAGTTAATATCGGGATCAAACAATCCAGGAAGGTAACTGTCTTGAATAGCTGATAACGATACAGTTAGCTCGATCGAATTAATATCAACTGATTTTAATTCTTCCGGAGAGTATGTTGAGTCTTCTAGCAGTGGGGAATTCACCACAGATGCTAGTAATGAATTAACACTGAGACATAATGAAATAAATCGATATATACCACAGATATAAATCAAATTTATAAAATTCCAGAATCTATAAAAATTATGGCAAGGAATTATGAATATATTATACAACCGTCACATTAAATATCACCAGCGGTCATTCCTCTTTTGAATGCTTCAACAACAGAGATGATTTCCTTGCCTTTTTCAAGTCACATAAATACTAAATATAAAATTTCATAAATGCTCGCTACAGTATACAAGAAAACTTACAACGCCCACTGACTGAATTAGACAGTGCTGGAAGAGTATGAATGTAATTTCCAAACATTACAGTAATACAGAAAGAATTAAGTCTTTATTAGAATTTATCGAAATTCAGTTCTTGGATATGTAAAATGCGAATCATCCCTACTAACAACACCATTTCTTTTTCCAGAACTTTTCTGTGGCGCAACTCATAAAACCGAGAGGCAAATATTTGCAATAACATACAGTGTCGTTGACGTGAATCGTTGCAAGCCATCATATCACTTCTCAGCTTATTTTGTGCAATTTGTAACTTTGTTTTGAGAGCGTTGAAAAATGGCTCCGACGTATCCTGTTCTTTTAATCGATTATAAAATGACATTTGCACCTAAAACTTAATCGTTTCCAGATCAATCACAATCCTCAGACAAACTTGAAAACCTAAAAATAATTCAATATTTACTTTAAATCCAATATATTCAGAAGTGATATGAAACAACGGCTGAGATCAATGATTATAAATAGGAAAACATCCAAAAAAGTGGACCTCATAATTTCCTTCATGAAGAAGTGCTTTTGAAAGCTGAATTGTCATTAAAAAAACTTCATGACTCGGCCCTTCCATAATCAAATCAATTACCAAATCTAAAAATATCCTTGCTTAAAGACATAGAAAAAGATTATAACAAATAATGCTAAATATTTCGTGCATTTCAATGCATTTTCATGAGCGTTTGTCTAACTGCAATATCTTCGAAAATATCCACTGCTGAATAGTTACACTACCATTCATCTCTCATGAATGGTTTCATTTCCATTCCTTTGAATCTTATTTGTGACAGCTGTTGTCAATAATACGAAACACCACTAATAAGGAATAAAAATCACAAAAAGTCACAAAAAGTCACGAAACAAAATGAAAGAACTTGGATATAACTAATAACTAACAGCAATTCACGATACTATAAAATATAAAGAAAAAATTGCACAAAACTTAAAATTGAAATGACATAGGTGCATCAAAATCATTCCTGTGTGTTTTGCTTGCACTTACCCTTTGTTATCACCTTTATCTAGGTCAGATCGACGCTGGAAACAATAAATAATGTTTTTATCAATTCACAAAGAAAGAATTTTCAAATGCTTATAGATCAAGCAGCCGAAGCACCTATGCTTCCGAAATTTTGCACTAGAGGTGTAGCATACTATCATTAGATGTTTTGCGAGTTTGTGAACCCTGTATTAATCAGCTTATTCGTAAATTTTTGAAGATCAGAAGTACATACCGCTAGCACCAGCATTGTTCAATTTACATTGCATGTCATATAATGATAGCTCCTTTACTGGTTTTAATTCATTTCCAAATTCTGAAACCGTAAACCGAATACACAAATGTAGAAATGAATTGTGTTTAGTTCAAAACTGACCTAACTCAGAAGTTTGACTTGCAAGTTGCAGGTACAAAGTAATCCACAACCTGTTCTTGCCCAGAAAAAGCATGAGTACAAATAAAGAGCATTATTGGAATACCGTTGTTCTCATGCTTTGCAGTCTGTTCATTTGCACTCAACAGTGCGTCATTACCAAAATATTGCTTAAGCAAACGAATTCGCACCTCTTTTGCCTAAAATTAAATGCATTGGGCGCTTAGAACAAGTAATACTTATCAAAAAAACACCGAAAAAGCTACAAGCAGTAATGCAACATCGCAATAGAACTTTTTTTTTTCGCTTAAATCAAAGAAACGAAATCCTTTCATGCATAATAAAACGCTAATACGTTTGGAAGAGATTTAACTAAAGTGAAAAATGTTTAGCAAAACCATATAAAATCTTGAATTGAAAAACCTATTCCACTCTGTGTGTACACAGGCTGAACGCCTAATTCGTTAATACCCTTCTATTATAGTTTACCATAGTTTTTGCATGTTTTGTAAAATTCTCCATTAGTACTAGCGTCTAAAACTGGTAAAATTTAAATTTAAGTCCGTTATAAGCGTGCAAAATAAAAACTTTGTATAAATTTATTGAAAAAACTTGTTGCATTAATATAAAATTGAATACATGCAAACAACATAAAACCGTCGATTTTCATTCATTGAGCTAAAACCATACAAAAGAGAAGAGCCTGTTGAAATCAGTATTTTCGATGGATACCCATAGAGATTTTAATGATTCGTACTCTGCGAAATTGTTCTAAACGTTGAAAAAAAAAGTTAATATTCAATTTTTTCTTTTCTTTTGTAAAAAAATCGCAAAGAGCAGTAGAGCAGTTTTTGCATATGTCCTTAAATCAAAGAAACCGATAGAGCTGAATGCGTGTTAACGACGAAGGTCTGCTATGGATACATGTCCATTTTTTCTGTAGTGGTTTTCATGATTATTTTGATACCCATCACTGGTTCAAACGAAAATGTAGCACAATGTAAGGATAAGTTTCAGCTGACTAGCAATTAAATTACATCATTTTTCTCAGATAATCATTTTGTGGTAAAAATAAATGTGAAGTGCAATCAAAACCAGCGGTTAATAAAAACAAATATTAATTGTGCGGTCAAACGCTGTAATGATAATTTTATGACAGAACTGTACAATTTGCGTCATGTGACCGTAACGCTGGTAATATAACCCGATTGAATAACAATTACTAAGCATTGAAACTGAGAATGAAGAAAATCAGATAATAATACATTCTGCTTAT